GGGGAAACCAGCAGACGGGGAAAAAGATGATCTGCACGGGCGGCCGTGCCTTTTCGTTTTGCGGCGCCGCGGTTGTTAATAATCGTAAAATCTGCTCCGGCAACGTCCGATTGTCTGGCGAAAAGAGCTATTAGTCGATTAACCGCGGCGGCCGCCGGAGGCAAAAGTGGCAAGGACAACGGCGAGCCGATGCAAATCGGGATTTTGTCGAATCGATGGACGTTCGCATCAAAGCGGTGATTAGGCCGCGGCTACTAACTATTATCGGCTGCGCCTACAATTAGTATCTTTTAGCGGGCACGGTCTAAATTTTCAAACCGTTTCGGCAAACACATCGCGGATCCGTTCCGCGCCGGATGATGATGCCGGCTTCATTAGCAGTTTATACTCCACTTAACCGGCTCGTTTGTACGGATTACGCCGGAGAAAATCGCCCTATAAACTCTCGTGGATCGCGAGCAGAAGTCTCGTAAAATTATGCGGAATCCGGCTGGGTCCCACTTATGAGAACGTATCGGCGTGCCGACGTCCGACACGGCGCCGGTTACATGCTTTCCCATTAACGCAAATTCCATCGATACGCTCGCGTTTCGATACGAACACGTATCGCGATAATCTCGCGATCGTTCTTGCCGCGTTCTAGATCGGGCAAACGCGCCGGTCCCGACAACACCGCCTCGATGAAAATTTACGAGCGGCGAGCGCGACTTCTTGCCTCGATTATTTCTAAAATCTCCCGCCCCGAGAAAATTGAATTCTCGGGTAATCAAACAATACAAATGCAAATACCGGCTCGAACGGCCGCGTTACAGCCGCTTCGAAATATTCCGCATAAATAAACGGTCGACGGCTACGAGTTACATTCATTTGTAAGAGCATCGATCGATTTAGCGAACCGATTGCCGGGTTGAATCGAGGAAATCGTTGATCAACGGGCAAACGTGAGCGCTCGATCGTCGGAACTATACCTCGGTGTGGTTTCTCCCAGCATACCGAATCTCGACGTTTCTCGCGATCTCTCGCTAATTTCGCGAAGACGCTGACTGTTTGTCGCGAGTTCTGCCTCGAACCGACGCGAACTCGGCCCCACGAGTCAGAGTCAGGCGAATCGCGGCTTAATTCGTGAGTACTCGTCCTCCGAGTACGTCGTTATCGAACGATATGATCCCGTGCGATCCGTGAATTGTGAACAGAGTGTTGATTGTTACTTCCGTGCGATCCGTTTGCTTCGTTTTAGAAGATCTATCACTTCGTTTGCTTCGCGTCGTCGATCAAAGCAACAGTTTCAGCTAATTTGTCAACGTGGAAGGTAGTAACGCGCGTAATTGTTGCATTATGCACCGTGTTTCGATCGTATCGCGAACCCTCAGTTTTTGGAGAAAAAAAAAAAAAAAAACGCGTCTCTGAGATCTTTACGGGCGCGAACGACTAATCTAAATTCCAGCGACCTTCCGTTTGTCCGTCGTCAAACCTCGTGTAAAATATCGGAGAAGATAATTACGGCGGCAGAAACTAGTCGACTAAGCGGCCTACAAAAGACACGGCCCGTTGGAAATTTCGTAACGACAACGGAACGAGGCCTCTGTCGCGTCGTCGTTTCACGACGGACGCATGAAAGCGCTTACCTTCCGCAAAGGCGTGCTCGAAGTGGCTTTTGTGCTGCTCGCAGCGTCACGAGAATAGTTGCCAGTGTGCGTAACACCAATGGCATTACCACGGCGTGCCTCGGCTCCTCGCGGAGCGAGTGACGCGCCGATAGCGTCATACAGTTCACCGGGATTCGTTTAACGCGATTCAAACGAAAGTTGGCGAAGTTGGTCCGGTTACACTGACAATGAGTGCGAAACGGTGTCGGTGTTTGCGCGGCGGGCACGGAGTCGGAAATCGCCTTCAATAAAGTGCAACTTTCCAGCTCGTCCTCGTCGTCGTCGTCGTCGTCGTCGTCGTCTCGGAGTTTCGCGTTCTAAACGAGCGAAAACAAGTTCGCCGATGGGAGGGTTGGGAGTTTCTCCGAAAAATTAGTCGGCAACGGGATGTCGGACGAGCCCGGATGAAATTTAGAGAAGGAGACAATAACGAGAGGAGGGACGACGCGTTGTCGTAATTGGAACAGTTCTTCGGGTTGCCTTGCTCGCGATCGATGCCCTCCAGCTCGGGAGAATCGCTTTTGTCGTGGCCGTTTAAACGCGACGACGCGACGGGGCCGACCGACGACCGAGGAGGAAAGAAAAGTTGGCCAGCCTGCTAAAAATTCAAAACGAGCGAGCGAATTTCCCCGGGAATAAATTTCCAAGTTTCCTCCACCGGCGAGAACAGCCGAGTAAATACGGCGTCGCGCAGGGCTTATCCAACCCTGGAGCGAGCAGCTAGAAAGTTTGACGCATTGCCATATTCGGTGAATAAGCCGAAACGATTGTTACGCAACGTTTGCGCAAAGAAAGGGGAAGCGAGACGTTTCCTCTTTTTTCTTTTTTTTCATCGCGCGTCGTCTGTCGCGCGAATTCTGCGGTAACATTTCGAGATGATAAGGATAAGCGAGACGAGAACTAACACGGTGGATCATTTCTTTCTTTAAGGTTCGAAACGACTTTTTTTTTAGCGCGCGTTCTTCATCCATCCTGCGAGGACTGCGACGATAGACTATGAATAATAGCCAATCCAATATAACGACGATGTGAGTAACCGATAGGTATCAATGCGCTAGCGCGATATAGGTGCCTGATCGAAAGTATATTTTCAAATAACGATAGATATATGCATATACATATATATATATAAATATATATATATATATATATATATATATATATATATATATATATATATATATACACAGAAGTCGCAAAGACTGATGCACTAAAAATGCATCCAATATATACTTTGTTGATAAAAAAATACTTAATGCATCTAATTATATGAGCAGAGTTTTAATTTTTATTTTTATTGTCAGTCTTTATTTTTCATTTAAAAAAAAAAAGACTATGTCATAATTCTGGTCCTCTATCAGCATATATCTTGAAAGACTTGAAGATCTCAAGTGAAAGTCTTACACAGGCTGTGAAGGACATTTTTTCTGACTCTTTTGTAGTATTGAGAGTCAATGTATTACTTACTTTCTTTAATTAAGTAATAAAATTTCGACAAAATAATATTTTGAAACTAATTAAAGTATGTGTATGAAATGTAATGTTATTGAAAAATACTATAAGTGGTGAGTGTATTTCCCATTTTAATCAAAATTCAAATAATACAAGTATAATTTTTCAATCCTTTTCATTACTACTTTCTTAACTGATTAAATTTTGTGAACTATCTTGTAAATTATAATGAAAATTTTAAACAAAAAAATTTTAATAATATTAATTATACACGTTTGCCACTTATATGCTCTTTGGATACACGTGTTTATGTACAAATTCAATTAACATTTTTTGCATTGTGATAGATACATACTGTCAGGATTTTATAAGATTGCATGAACTAAATTTGTATTACTTTAGTCACAACATACTTTACTATAAAGCAGCTATTACTAATGCAGCAACTGTGATTATGAAGTAAATTAAATAGATTTATCACATTATAGATTATTCACAGTTAAAGAATCTTATTGGATTTCATAGTGCTTTACATTATTTTGCTTTTAAATTTTTTCATGTATCTCATCTATTTGTGGCTCCTCAAAAAAAAAATAAAAAAATAAAAAAATAAATAAAAGTCAAAAAATTACAAGAAAAAAAGAATAACATATTCAGTTAAAAGTAGAGTTAAAAATAGGTATTTATGGATTTATTTGGGAGATTCAAATTTAGTAGTGAATTAATCATATAGAACAATTAATAACAATAAATTTAGGCAACTTCTTTTAATTTTTAAATTTATCTTAGTATGAAGAGACTGTCTTTTAGATTTAAGTCTATTTGTTTAACAAGATCTGATGTATATTTAATTATTCTTTATCAATTTGTTAAATAATATCGATAAAATATACTAATTAAAAGCACCTATTTAGTTTATATAATTTTACTTTTTGCAATAAAATTTTAAAAAAATGTAAGTATGAAGCATTACTAATAGTCATATAAATATGTATCTTGTAGTCATTAAATCTGTGTCAATTCTAATGACATGCAATATTTATATCATATTATTAATATTTTTAGTAGCATGTCATATATATCCATAAAAAGCTGTATTTTAGCAGTAGAAAAATATTAAAAAAAACTCATCTGGTTACAATGTAACTACTATATAAAGTACCATTGCATAATACTTCGTGTTTTCCAATACTTAAATTGTCTCGAATTTAAATAATATCCGTGAAAATAAATATCACGTTCTTTATGAGTTATTTCAATAGTACCTGTATTTATTTGCTGTGTACTAATTATAATCATACTAATATTACAATAAGATATTTTAAGTTTTAAAAAGTAAGCAGTTATAATTATCTCATACATTATGTCCAATGAAAAAATACTCTAAAAATAATAAAGAAAAAAAACTTGTTAATGCAGCGATATATGTAACTTGAACATTTAGATCAACAAGCACAAATACTATTTTATGTTCTTTTAATTTGTATAATTGGGCAATGTTTAATATTTTTCAATTTTATGTTGAGATAAAACAAAAAAAAGCAAAAAATTTAAAATATAAAAAAATACAGGTAAACTCTTTTCTAGCGATAAATATTTTCTTCTGTAAATATAACTATAAAAATAATGTGTAGCAAATTAGGATAAAAGTAATTGTTTAAACAAGTGTGAATTATTATAATTATATTATTGCCATTAATCATTTGCATTTGCAATTTCCTGTATTGTATTATTATTTCTGTAATATTTAGTACATAAATGAACTATATAAAACACAAATTTATGTATTGTATTTGTAATATCCTTTCCTATTATGTATAATAATGATATTATCTTTCTCTTTATATGGGATAAATAATTTATTTGTAAATATAATGAATAATAGTAAAAAAGAAACATTTGTTAAAAGCATCACCTTGTATTTGGCAGCATATCAGTATATATAACTACAATTTAATCTTAAAATTATTTCTATATAAATTAGTATCAGTTTTACAACAGTAAAAAATTGATACCAATACACATTGTATTAAAAGCTATGAAATGTGAAATGATTTTACTCCTTATATATTCTGCAAACACTAATCCAATACAACATTTATTATAATGACTATATTAATATAAATGAAATAATACATATTATGAAGCACAATTTTATATTTTTATTGTGCATTTGTCACACATACAACATGTTATTTTCATAATTCAAGAATCATTTAATATTTGCTACAAAATTTTTAAATAAATTTTGGTAGTATTTTTTTTAAATATAATACTTTACTCATCATATAAGGTATGAAATTGGTATCAGTTTTTTTTACAATTATTTCTTATATACTATAAGTAATGTAAAATCATCATAAAGGAGATTTTTTAAAAATGTATAATCATATTTACTTATATACAATCATTAAATACTTTGATCTGCAGTCTCTTTATTCCAATGCAATACTGTCTTATTTATATTGCTTTTATGCAAGTTTTGTTGACACACGATTTTTTCATCTAATTATGAATATAATATTGAATAACAAAAAGTACAAAAAATATAACTTTTAATAAAATTTTCTAAAGAAATATAAGATATGTTAAAATTATTTTATATATGTAAAGCAAATTATATAAGTAAAAAATTTACGTATTAGAAAAAATATAATTTGTTACATTAAATGTATTTATATAAATGAATTCTTATACTTTCATATTAATTATTTGTATTTATTGATATAATTGCCACTTGGAAAGATGCTAATATTACTATTTGTATCTTAGTTGGTTTTGTAAAAGCATAACAAAGTATTTATCAATATTATTGTCAAAAAATTCATTATAATAAGAAACTGACCTTCATGTAACATAGTAGTAAAAATTCAAGGCCTGTAATTGTTAACATTACTTAAAATAACAGCCTTAGTTTTTTTTTTATTATTAGAGACCTTGTTTCTGGATATGTATAAAAACGTGTACAAGTTATAAAATCGTTAAATAGGATTCATATATTAATAAAACAGAAAAATAATAACCAATTTGAATTCTTGATTCTTGATAACGAAAATGTAAGGTCTTTGATAAGCTTATATTCATATGTACGTAAGTACATATAAGTCGCTTATCATAATACTTAATAAAATGTTATTAAATTATTTTTATGCGTTTAATTTCAATTTTTATTTTTTACAAATAATAATAAAAAGAATAATATTATTCTAGAGCTTATTACTTATAAAGCTAAAACTTATACGTTATAAATCCTATTATACAATTAATTATTATAGAAGTGCTCAAATTATCAATTTTATTTGTAAAAAAATTATCCTAACAATCATAAAACAAACGAGTCATTTTTTTTTAAAGAAAGTCTTGCATGCACAAATTTCATTTTGCATTTTCGACTTATTTTTCTATGAGGAATCTCTGTCTGATTATATCACGATGATTGGGTTAGAAATTCATGACAATAAATTAACAATAAACACAGATTTTGTGTTTTAATTTTATACTCAGTAGAAAATAAAACATCTTATTCATATGATTTTTTAAAGGTGATGCTATATACTAGACTTCGTTTTTATTAAATTACTTACACGTAAAATCTTAAACGCTTTCTGTAGGACTTTGAAATTCGGAAAGTGCATGTATTGGGTTTTGCACTTTTTTTTGCGAACCTTTGCGCACTTTTGCCCTGACTTCTTCTGGTCTTTCAGGACGAACCAATGGTTTCTTTTCTGGCGCTTTCATTTTCCATACAACAATTGGAGACTATATAAATAAAATAAATATTAATTGTGAATTTGAAGTTCCGATAATAACTGTTTTCTAAAATACTATTAAATTTTTAAATTATAAATATATTTTACGTAAATACTTACATACTACAAAATCCAATATAGTTAGTTAATAAGAAAGTTTAAATCTTAGATTAATTATACATATAAATTGTAAATGTAATTCTGTCTTTTTAGAATATAAAGTAAAGTATAGAATTTGAATAAATAATATTAATATAGGAAGGATACTTACAGTTACTGTAGATTGTCGAGGATATTTAGTCGATGCAACATATGAAGCCTTAACAGTAAGTACAACAGCATTCATTAAATTTTTAGCTGCCTGAATGAGAGAAGTTGCACTGTCAAGTCCAGATACAATTAATTCTCCGCTAATATTTTGTACATCTGCTTTGACTTTGCTTGTAATATTCATTTGATGACAATATAATGCTATACGTTGTAAGTATGCTAAAAGATCTTTCTTAGTAGAACTTTCTGGACATTGATCTGCTATTTGTCTTGTTAATTTATCTAATTTAGTTCCGGCTTCAGAAATTTTCTTTGCTGCATTGATAACATCCATAGTTGTTTTCAAAGGTCCACGACCTCTAGTGAAGTCAGTCATTTCCATCATAATCATACACATATGCTTAGCAAGAACAATAATATCGTTCCCTGCATCGTCCCATTTGGCAACTTCTTTATCGAACTTTAGTTTCTCGCTCTTGAAATACTCTACTTGCTGTAAAATTTTTTGTTTGTCTTCTTCAGGCATCTTACGCATTGCTTCGCGGGCTGTAGTAATTCCGCTAATTTCTGGATATTCATCAACACCATGTTCACCAGTTTGAGCGCTTGATTTACTACGAGTTTCTAATGTATAATGTTCATCAAGTTCCACATCTTCTGGATCTAAATCCTCATCCGCCTAAAATATAACATATATAAATGAAATAAATGTAGTCAAGAACACAAATTAATGACTCCACTGTATTCTCTTACTCTATTCATCAGTACAGCGCGTCTAATTTCACGAACACCATCATATACCAATCTTGAAGCATCTATAAAATCATTTTCATCCACATCTTTAGCAGGATTACTACCCAATGCATCTACCGCGACTTCTACTCTTTGCGCAAATTTCGGCATGACTTGTTCCCTTAAAACTTTTACAGCTTCTAAAACTCGTTTCGTATAGATACAAGGCTCATAATTATCCATTTCTGCTTGAACAACGTTACACACTCTGGCAGATCGTCCACGGATTGCACCCGCAGTTCTGTCTAAAGTATCGGCATCACCTTCTTGTAATGCCAATACACATTTATTTACGTCTTCTAAGATATGATTCTCAGATACTGCTAAGAAATCATCAATAGTAGTAATATCATCAACAGCTTCTGTTAATACTCTTACTTGATTTTCCCATGCTTGTCTAAATACTTCCATGTTATCTAAAGCTACTTTAGATCGATTACGAGCTGCAAGCACACGGGCTGCATTAATTACTTGTGGACATAAATTTCCAATTTGTGCTGCCGCATATCGCACCATTTTTACACCATCTTCGTTTCCAGACATACTACATACTAAATTGGCAACCTGAATAGATATTATATTAATTATGTCAATTATAATAAAATTAATATTTCAGACGTGTGTATTTAACTAAACAATATACCTCAACTAGCTTATTGGCATGTTCTGTAAAGACAAGTGCATACTCTTCCACCTCTTTATCACGGCCATTTCTTGCAGCTTCAATAAGGACCAATAAAGGTACACTTGTTTCCAAAAAGCTATCAGATACATGATCCACTACAGCCTTTCGTAATTGTCTGCGAAGATCACGAGTTTTTCTGCACATATGATCAATTGCTCTTTCTAAACCTTCTGATTGTTCCTTGACACCCATCTGTTAAAATATATATATATATATATATATATATATATATATATATATATATATATATGTATATAATTAAAAAACTTGGACTAAGAACAATTGTTTTATGAGCATTCAAGTAAAATCTAAGCTATTTCCTTACTAACAGCATTAAAGTGCAAGATAAAACTTTTTTTTAATGATTGTTAAAAGGAATAAGCTAAGAGATTATTTTATTTCATTATTTGGAAGATGCTATATTTTTTCAATGTAGGTATTTCATATATCTGACAAATTAATGTACTAGTTACATTTATACTTTTATTTATCTTAATGAAAATAAATTTTAGGAAAAGCTATGTACATAAGCAAACATAAAAAACATAAAAAAATAATTTTCTTAATTATAGAAAATACTTTATAAATAAAAAAAAATATATATATATACACAGGTAAAATCTATAATCAACTTAAAAATAAATTTTATGTTATTCTATTTTTACATTGCAAATCTTAAGTTATACTATACAGCTATATCAGAAGTTATACCATATAATATGCACTATTTATCTACACTATTTATTTACTCAATTTCTATGAATCTGTAATCATATTACATTTGGTGCCATATCTATTATTTTATATCTACAAAATACATATACAATTGTGCAATTTAGGGAACAACTGCAAAATCAGTGTATACAGAGTTATTAAAAATTTGATTAGTGCTTCTTGTTAAATAATAAAATTTATAAATTGTGTGGTAAAATACAATATTTTAACAAAAAATTCTTGCTTAATCTGTAAATTGTATGCAAGAATAATAAGAAAACACAAGATTTTTATATTTACCCGTTTCCCACCCCGAGCAAGCTGTAACTGCAGTCATCAAAAATAAAAAAACAAATGAGTAAAATGAACATACCAAGAAATACATAAATCAATGAATTTTGTTAAATGAATAATTAATAATAATAAATGATAATATAATTAATTGTATTCTAAATGTATTTATGGAGACATATATTTTTGTATATATGTAATTATAAATGTATTACACAGTAATGTATCATACACTTAAATGCTATGTTACAGAGTAAGAAAAACCAAAATAAATGATATAAAAAAAAATTAAGTTTCTCTACATTGCTGCAATTATTAAAATTTATTTAAATATTTTATGTATATGTATAAATAACTTATATACATACAAAGCGTATGTTTAAATTATAAAAGCATAAAGATCTGTAAAATACTTACATTATTCATATATTCACTCAACAAATCTTGAAGTGCTTGCCTAACTGCATTACATTCTGCAACAATGCGTTCTCTACGTTCATCCCGAGTGCATGAAGAATCCGCCATCAATGCAGCACCGCTGATAATACTTTCCAATCTTTCTTCAAGACTGGGTCTTGTACGTACTTCATTATACGCAAGTGGAGACATTACCATTCTTTCATCAAAATCATCTAAAGCAGCAGCCAATTCTCCAGGTCCTTCATAAGGATGTTGGCTGTCAACTGGAGTTTTTCCTTGTGCCACATCATTAATGGTATTTACAGCTTCACACACTTGCTTCAGAACATAATCACGATTTGCTTTTGCTGCAGCCAATTCAGGATGTCGAACATAAACTTTAGAGGCAGTAAGAAGCATAGTAGAATGCTTTTTAAGAACAGCTCTTGCTGCAGCCAAGTCGTCCCTTAATTGAGGATCTTTCAGTTCTTGTTGACGTTTTGCAGCTTGATTCATAAGTTCTGATGCATTTCTTCCAAATTGCTTTATATTTTCTAATAACTCTCCCTGTGAAGATGCATTTTTCAATTTCTTTAAATCATCTTCTACCACATGAAGCGACTTCAACAACAAATGCACATCAACCATATCTGCTAAAATAAGCAAACGTGTTACTGCAGATAATAAATTTCTTGCTGCTCGAACCATATTGCCTCTTTTTAAAGAAGAACAAGGATCTTCAGAAAATTCTCTGTAATTAATTAACAATTATACTAAAATGTATTTCATGTTCTCTGTATAACAGGGTAAATATAAAATATACCTGGCGGCAATGCTCATTGCAGCACCTGTTTTTTTTACTTCCTCAACAGCACTTAACATTTCTGCAGTAATATCAGGATTTTCATAAGCTATCTGTTCACCTTTTTCAATAAAATTGCTAGTTGCTTTTTCAACAGTTCCAACTAAAGCACTGGCCCTTTTTGACTTTCCTTTCTTTTTTTTGCTAGGACCCTTTGTATTTACAAGCGTAGTAACTTGTAAAACTAAGGGCTCCAATGTCTTTTCTACAGACATGGTACGGATCTCTAAATTCTTGGGATCCCATTTCAAAGTTATCGGGCCAAAGTGATCAGACATTTTTGTTACTTTAAACAAGACAATTCTGAAAACCAAAATGATAATACACTTACATGGTATAATACAAAAATTACCTGTACTCTTATAACATGATACAGGTAATTTGGCAAAAATGCAAATCAAATACAAAAACCCAACTATATCACAACTATATTACAATATTTTTTTTACCAATGATTTTATTATTATTATATTTGTAATATTTAGCAAAATAACATATAATGATAATAAAGCACAATAAACTTACAAATTTTATGTACACATACCACATTTTTCACTCACCTGTTTATAAAAAAAAAAGAGGAACTAAACGATATAATTGATAACAAGATATAAATGTTTGAAAAAATCAGGGTGCGTCAAATATGGTTTGAATATACGAAAAAAAATTCATATATAGAAAATATCGTACAAGATATGCTATCGTTTTCTATTGTGATCGTAGGGCCGGGACCGAGTCTAGCCGGAATGGATGGGAGGGTCTGTACCACAAATTTCACTTTAGCGTGAAATGAATAGACAGATGGAATGAGTCAGTGGTCGCTACATTTGTTTATGTTAGATAAGTGTTGCGAGAATTCCCACTTTACGAAAGCAGTTTCAAGAAACAGTAAAGATAGCGTAACAAAGCAAAACGGGAGTCCCTAGTCATGATGCAAGGCATTATGCATATCAATTTTCTTACCTTCATGAAAAATTTACCGTTCGAAATTTGTGGATCGTCAATAAAACCTACGCAAAACAATCGTTCGTCTGAAAAATCAATTGCATCGGGAAATCAAAATTCTAACACAAACAGTCCCATATCACTTCGATGTATCATCCATTTGCTATGTACTCTTTATTCATGACGTCATTATTTCCGCTATAGTTGGAAAAACGAACGACACCTCCAGGGAACTGGTCTACGCCCGAAGTTTGGAACACGAATGTTAAAGCGACGCTTATATAGCATACACGGTGAATGCAACTTGCCGCAAGAATGCAACAGCCAATCAAAGAATGCCTTTTTCAAAGTTCCACGGTATACATATCATCTGATTATTTCATTGGCGACTACATCTACATTTATCGCGTTTGCTGTATGTTCCGTATAAGTTTCCGTAACGTGTGGTACAATACTTTAAAACAAACGAGATTTTTAAATGTCTGGAACTGACATTTACTGAATCTGGAAAACGAGCTGAACGTTTCTGAACGCAGAAACTTTTCTAATTTTTTCACGAACGTTTTAATGAAATGATCACGGATGTTGTCGTTTTAAGCGATTCGAACGAATCTTCAAACGAATGCGTTCAACTAAATTCGAATAATAAAGCTTTACCTGGTGATTCAAGCGATTTTGAATTTCCTGAAGTTAATTTTTATCACATTATTAATGAAGACGATGTAGGTAAATCACAAGATGCCGATGTTGCAAGTTGTTCCTCTAATTTTAACAACAATGCACCATCACATCAGTCCAATAATGATAAACATACTACCAGCAACAAACATTTCAAACAGCATAAGGTTAAAAAGCTTTTGTATGATACTTCTGATTCATCTAGCTCAGATGAAGAGAATAGAAATAAAAAGAGACAAAGGAAGGTTAAAAATACTATAGGAAAAAAAAGTAGGATTCAAATAAATGAAGAAAAATTAAAGAAACAGGAGCAGTTAACGAGAGAGAAAGCACTAAAAGCAATTGCAGCAAAAAAATTAAAAAATATAAAACCTGATGAATGTATGAAATTTATAGAAATTACTGTTGATAAAGCCATTGCGAATTTTATTTCTGTTACAGATGTAACAAATACATTGAGAGATGCTGGAGTGAAATGTACCGTTAAAACGAAATTTATTTCAAATAGCATTACGTGGAAAAGAAATATAGAAAATAGCTATGTTAATGATGACAATGAAATATGTACAGTAACAGATGTTGAAAAAGTTAGTCAAATATTGGTAATCTGGAATTGGGACGAGGTAGCAACAAAAGTAACAAATGGTGACTTTTATATGTCTGTCTCTAGCATTAAATGCTCATTACCAGATTACAAAATAACATTAGTAGTTTATGGTATAGAAGATTATTTTGCCTATAGAGAACAAGAAAAAAATTCAGATAAAAGTGGAACAAAAAAGAAAACACAAAAAACTTGTACAGAAAAGTATCTTCAATTATCTAAACATTCCTGTAACATATCAAGAAAACAACTTGAGACATATCTCAACGAAATACAAATTATTGCAGATTGTAGTAGTAGATTAATTAATAATTCTCAAGATCTAGCATTGATGATATATCAATATACAAAAGCTATAGCAGAAATACCATATAAATTAGAAAAAAATAAAAATTTAATAAATAAATTTGACTGGTATGTAATGGGAGATAATAGAAATACTGTAAAAGTAGATAAAAGTGGAAATGGACTGAAAAGATTATGGCAGCAACAGCTTTGTCAATTTAATTTGAGCAGTCTTGAAATTGCAGAAGCAATTTGTTCTATGTATCCAAGTCCTGCACATTTAATAGAAGTAAACATCAATATATAGTATGTATAATAAATATAAGTTGCTACCTCTATTTATTTCTTCTCTTTCTTTTCAGGCTTATATGAACTGTACAGATGATGAAGGAATAAATTTGTTGAAAGATATCCCGGTAAATAAAAAATATTTATTACAATGTTTTTCGAATAAGACTTCTAAAAATAAAATAATTTATAAACTAAAATTTAATATTTTTATAATTATTTTTACTTACATTTTATAAATATATTTTAACACTTTACAGATTAGAAGAGCAGCTGGACCACTTACAACTGTACGTAAAATTGGCCCAGAATTAAGTAAAAAAATCTACTTAATGTTCACATCTAAAAATGGTGAAATTGTATTAAGTTGAATATATTTTTAACAAAGTTCAATAAACGTACAAATAGAAATATTATAGATAGCTCTTTGTTATTCTATTTTCGATATCTCCAACTAAAAGATTATAATTCACTATTTTATATAATTTCTTACTTATTTCATGAATATAAAAAACGCGGAAATTATTTATATCCATATATTGTACAAATGAATAATATTAAGTACATATAAAAGCTTTAATAACTTTTTATGTATTAATTATTTAAAAATCTAGCGCACAATTTGACTAAATGAAAAAATAAAACTTATTAATAAAAAATGTTTTATAGACATACTGTTATACAGATATACTCTTTCTTTTTTTTGTTTATGAATTAGTCTAATTTTGCGCTAGATATTTTTGAATATCTTATATAATATGAAATATAATATTTTTACTATACCAAAGGTATATACAATACATTTGTTTACAGCAAATTTAAATATGATAGTCGGTTAATAAAAGTAATTTTCTAACATTTTTACAAGTATTTATTAAACATAAAGTATCTAAAAATTTTTTATAAAAAGAAAAGGACTTCAACCATTTCATATCAATTTTCTCTACTATCTTACAATAAAAAATATATAAATGATTAAATGCAATCTAAATGAAATTGTTTGTAAATATTCAATACATTTCTACTAAATTATCATTAACTGTATACAGACTAATATTACATAACTCTTACATAAATTTTTTACACGCATTCCTCATATATTTGATTCTCTCTGTTTAATGTTAGAAATTACTTAAAAAAAAAAAAAAAAAAAAAAAAAAAAAAAAGAAAAGAAAAGAAGAAAAAAAGCAAAAAACGTGGAAAAACCTTTTTGACGAGGAGTTTCTCGTTAAAGCACATGGCAGAATCGCGCTGATAAAATCGATGCTCGCGAGACACACACGAGAACACATGTACACGTGCGCATTGTTGCACGTATTTCCGTTCTGTTACAAACGAGAAGCAAAATATACGTAAAAAGAGAAGAATATCACACCCACACGTCGGAACGAATACTTCGAATGAAAAACATTTGAAAATACTCGGTGTTATCGATTGCACAGGTATAACGTCTCTCTCTTTCTCTCTCTCTATCTATCTCTCTATCTATCTATCTGTCTGTCTTTATCTTTCTTTCTCTATCTCTTTGTAACTTTCATTGTCGATCGTTTTTCGCACAGGGGAGGAAAGGGATTTTGTGTTTTTTGTGTTTTGGCAACAAACGGGTGCGGGATGGAAACACATAACGAATCGTTGGGGGCTACGCCTATTAACGTAACTAATTAACAGCATGTTAACGAACATAGTGGAACGTTTACGAATAAAAACGAATTGTCATTTTCAGGATTTTTACCGATCAGTATAGGTAAGTCGCATTATTACGTAATTTCAGTAGCCGCTGCGAATCGTTATCGTTGCAAATTGTACACCGCGGAACGGGGCGACACGTGTCCTCTTCACGGCACGTGTATATATTATTATTTGTAATTATCCGGCGAAGCATTCTGCAATATTCCTTTTTTTTTTCTTTTTTTCTTGGCTTTTCGACACTGTCGTTCGAAGAAAATTACTTACCAATTAATAAAATATATCTCTGTTAGAAATTTACAGTATTTACGAGAAAAGATTCTTTCGAAAAATACGCCTGTTTATCAAATATATATATATATATATATATATATATATATATATATATATATGTATATGTATATAATACTTTATATATATATATAAATTTTCATCTCCGAATTATTGATTCGAATGAAGTGAATTCTGAATGGTTTCGAGTCTTGCGAATTTCGTGAAAATTTGTTTGCCATTGAAACGAGACTGCTGGCTGCTCGGTAATTTATACTTTGTCGGCCGTCTTCTCGCGCTTTTCCTTTTTAATGAAATCCCGTGATCCCCGCTGTTGATCCATCGGCGAAGACGACTTCGATATCGTAATGTACTTTCTCCCAAGGGCACGCTCGAAGAGGAAAGCGACACGAGGGACAAAACGTTTGGGCTGGCGACTGTTAAGGAAAGAGGGATTTGTTGGACTTAACGAAATCTCTATTGGTCTTCCAACAATCTATCTTTATGCTTGGGGCGTTTGTTAGAGAATAAATTCAGAGAATAAATTCAGAGAAACTCTTCGTCCGAGTGTAGAAAAAATTTCCCTCGATAAACTTCGACTTTGACACATGATACATAAAACACAGTATATAATAAATTTATTATTACAACGATACGAATTTCGAGATTAATTGATTATTCAAATCAATCTGCTTGAGTTATAATATCGAGTCATACTCGTGGTTTCGATTTGATAGAAAGAGCAGGGAATTGTAGTCCTGCGGAATGTTGAATTGTCGATTTTTTTCAATTCGCTTTGGCTTTCGTCCAAAGAAACATCCATACAAGTAAACAAAAGTAATTAACATTATGTTTCATAGCACTTGACTCGATCGTTACGGTCTTGAAATAATAAAATCCTACAATTACCCGCAAGTAATATTCTATAATGGTAATTCTAATGAATAATGCATACATTCTTATACACGCAACTATCGTTTCAAAACGTCCTGCCGGAAAAATATTGACGCTTCAAAACTGACGATTGATAAATGCAAATTGCAGTGTTCCCGGTGCTGTGCGTCTGACACGACGTGTAACGCGATAACTGTGTTTACTGAAAACTGAGAAGAAAATCGCAAAGGGTTAATAAACGCCGTGTAAAAAAAAAAGGCCGAAGGTGAAACTTCGTATTAATCGCGTTGAAGAGGCACGAACTTGAGAATTCATCAGTCGTCGATTCAAACGAACAAACGAGCATAACAGAAATTTTCGTTGCAGCTGAATTTAGAGAACGGAACGCCGAACGATAAAATTCGATATTAATCGCGTGAGGATATTCCGCGCTCCGTCTCCAGGCCAGTAAATATTTCCACGGTGCATCGAGTGCAGGGAACATCGAGTGGAAGTGCACCGCGTGCAAATATTTTTATCTGGACGAGAGCAAACAGCGTATCGAGTGTTTCGATTCGCTCCATCTGTCGTAGCCGGGATTATCGCGAGTTCAGTCTCGTGGAAGAATTTGTCTCTCTTCACTCTTCCTTTTTTTTTCTTTTTTTTCCAAAAACCAGACCTTCGATCGTTTTGTTCTTTGACTCTGTGGTCAAAGCGGACGATTTTCGCTGCTGTTTTTTTTTTTCTTTTTTTTTCTATTGAGAATTACGGATGAAGGTGAATATCGTTCGGGTGAAAATAATACTCGGGAGATTGTCAAATTGAAAGAAATAGAGCAAACGACAACTGTGTATCAACTGTGGATAATTTAAGTTGAGCTACTTCGTAAAACAGGATTTTCACGTTTTAAAGAAGAGCTAACTGGCGGCCCTTGCCCCCACTTTTCTCATAGCTAGCGCTACCCCCTCCACTGCATCGGTCTCCCCACTACACGGAGGAAGTTTCGTTAAAAAGCTTCTGCTTTGACACTAACTGCAAGTCTACAATGATCTCGAGGATTGAAATTTTCTCCTTGAAACTTGCGAAATTTCTTCGCCTCTCGAAGCAAATCGAATATCGTCCATCGCGAATTTGGGATTATTATACACTTGAATACTTGCTGCTCGAGCAACTTATTTCCGCAGTTGTCGAAAATTCACGTTTCTGCTAATTGATGTAACAGCACGCCGATGAATATTGATACCGATGTTGTAAGGAACGTTGCATTTGATTAATTGATCAGTTGATTATAATTAATTACGTTGATGCGTATTTGCGCGTAAATAGGTAGAATTATAATACTGATGTTAATCTTTCCTCGATATACTCTGACAGTCGCACAAAAGATTCTTTGGTTGATCGTTTTACATTTTTGCACGATTCGTGGCTGTCGGTGAGGTATTGCGACGGCGAAGGCTAACATCGAACGGCTCTATTCAATGTCAATAACAAGCCAGACATCGACATTGACGTCGATCACGATTAATATATATCTTCACGTTGTTGCTATCGCAGTTTCTTTCAAATATTTTACCGATGAATGCGAAACTAGCTTCTTCGTGGATGAAACGCGTTGCAATCTCTTGTTTTTGCCAACGCAAATCTAGGAAAAAGAAAAAAAGAATAAAACGAGAAGAAATACGCGCTCAATCGTTTGTAAATTTATTTTATACACGAGCGTTTTTATATATATATGTATATATATTTTCTCGCGCGATAAGTGCATAAAAATCCACGTGCACGTAGCAGGATCTTTCTGCAAATATTTTTCAGGCACGTGTAAAACTACGACGCACATACGTGATAATAGTTGTTATTTTTTAATGCAAATTGCGAGATAAATGAAACGAAGGTTAATCGAGTTGTGATGAATTATCATTTGGTTTTTTTTTCAAAAATCTTCGTGATATATCTGCATCCAGAAGCTAGCAATTGTCTTTTTTATTTATTTATTATGAGCTGCTTGGCGAGTTTGCGCAACGACACCAATCAGACTGGACGAGCTTGGTTAATTACTATGTTGCGCGGGGCCTTGTGACAATTTAATAGGATTGTTGACAACGTTGCGTTTGCTGTTGACGAAACTGCACGCGTTTCCATAAATGTTATCACTATCAAAATCCTAAACAATCGTTTCGAAAAATTGCTCGCTCAAAAATTGTCCGACTTCTCTTTCCAATTAAATTCAAATAATTCTCGTTCTTTATCCTTGCTTCTGTTTCTTCTTTGTTTCATTTCAGAGATTATCACAACCACTCGGTGAGGATCAAGCATTTTAAATAATTAGAGCCAGCGTGCAATGTAGGAATCGAAACTTAGGATAATTCGGAGATTCCGAGTAAACTGAGAAATCTGACAGAATTGTTGCAATTCGAATTTCACGGCGCGGAATTGAGACTCGATGGGATCGCAGTTTGCAGCTCGGATTCAATCTTGGAAATAAAATACCCAGGCGGCGAGTCGAATAGCTTAAGTTATTCAGTGTTTGGTATAGATCGCTACTTACGTTTCGTGCTTAGAATAGACACGTTTCAAGTGCAGTAACAAATATTCGACGTTAGTTCAAGGGATTGCGAATCTTGTCTACGTCTGTGGTATCTCTGCCGGATCGTTTGAATATAAATAGAACGTTTGATTCAGATTGGAGAGAATCGAAACGCGGTGTAGATCTGCGAGAACAGCGTCCAATTTGAAGTTACATTGATTTTTTTCGCACGAAAGTGTGAAACAACTTGGGAACTCAATTGTTCAAAGTGTGAGAGAGGAGACTAAAGTAATATGGAAAATACTAGACACTAAAATACTTAATTCAGATGAAAGAATTTATCAAAGTCAGTGGCTACAAATATTCAGCAAATCCAAATTTTTCCAACAGTGTGTACAAACTTCCGCCAACTTTCGTAAGTATTTTGTTAACAATCGACTTGAAAAGGAGTTGACAGATTTTTCCGAAATTAGAGAGGAAATATAAACTCACAAAAGTTCACCAAATATCAATTTCTTTCACAGTTTATTTATCGAAGATATTTTGTCAGTATTCGATGTAGAAAGAAGCTTTCCGAAATTAGGAAAGGAGTGTTTCGTAATTTTTCAATTTTACAAAAGTTTCACCAGCTATCAATGTCTTTAACAATTTATTTAAGTCCGCCAATTTTCGAAACTGTTTTTGTCAATATTCGATTTAAAGAGGAAGTTGAAATTAGAGAAAGGATATTTGGAGAATATTTGTACAAGTTTGTACAAATTCGCCAGCATTTAAAAGCATAAAACTATTTCGTCGTGATATTCGACTCGTGAAAAGGGGCTTGATTGATTTTTCGAAATTAGGAAAAAAACAAACACAGTTGAAAAACGGTGTTTTCTTCTCTTTTTTTTTTTTTTTTTCGTGATGGCAACAAGTCGCCACCATCAGTTTCAAGCGGACGTGCAACGGCGGTTATAGCTGAAATTCCCAGCGGAAAATCAATATTGACCAATGGACGATGGGAAAACAGCGATTGGACACGTTTAAGCGAGACACGCCGTGTGCCGTGCCATTTACTTTCCAATGCCGTTTGCATAATATCGACGGTTTCGAGACCGATGTCGATCAGTCAACAGCCGGTGATTGTCGCTAATTCGCTTTGGGCCGGTCGAACGCGTCCGAATCCGAAAATTCGTCGATCCGTCGTCCCTCTCTGTTTTCAAATTGAATCATCGATTTTCCGCGGGAATTTCCAGAAAATTCGCGTAACGCCGACCGAAAATCTCGCTTCTTTCTCGAATTTCAACATGAAATCGCGAAATAATTGCATCCGATTTCAGAAAAGACCACAACATTCAAAAGGACGATGCTCTTTGAACATTCACATTTAGAATATTATATTTCAAGAGGGCAATATTTTTAGAATATTATATTATATACAGAGGACAGTATTACAATATTAAAATTCTTCGCGGTTAATTCTCCTTTCTCGTGAGATCTCATATCGTCGATTTGAAAGCTGAACTCTCAACGAACCACCTGTCATCTGAACTACTTTAAATCAGTCTAAAATCAAGTCGTTTAATTTCATTTGATCGACACTCAAAAATTCGAAGAGCAAGAGGTCGAGCCTCTTCGAGAATTGTTGAGGATCGTGAGTGACGTTCTCGGCTCGACCTTGGGTACCAGCTACGCGCCTCGTCACACGATCGACGATCGGCGGTTTCACGGTCCCGGTCAGAGGAATCCAGAGAATTGAGGCCGATTGACGCTGTTCATTAAAATAACGAGCGCAGCCAGTTTCTGCGTCAAGACGGGACTATTCGTTCCTGAAACGCGCGCGCGTATATGTGTGTGTGTGTGTGTGTGTGTGTGTACGCGGTAATCGCCACACCGGGGGATTAATGTCCGTCAGTGCGGCCGTTTCCGTTCTACGCGAACGACCAGAAGAACGTCAGCTGGTCATCGATCAGCATTGCGCGTTCTCGCGAAATCTCGTGACAGTGTTCCTCTTCTTGCGATCGATCGGTTGATCTTCGTCACTCGTTCGTCACTGTTCACGAACGTTCGAATCTTTTCACCGACGCGTCGCTTCCGGTAGTGTTGTCGTTCAGACTGTTCGAACATTGTACGTTCGAACTGGCAGATCTTAGAATTAGTATCGATAATTTTTTTTTTTTCTCAATTCAACTTGAATCATCGTGGAATTTGTACCTAACGTTAATTACTTTGGAATTAATTTGCTGTGATTCAATTCAATTCAGCGTGATGCTGAAAACTATTTCAATTTAATTACAATTGGCTAATTTTGGGACTGTTTTCACTTCAAGGCGAATTATTTTTCAACGTGTGCTATCTTGGATTTGTTTCAACTTGGTGTTACTTATTCTCGGGGTTGCTCTAATTTCGTGCGAAGCATTTTGAGTTAATTATAACCAAATTCTTCCGAGATCATTTCAGTATAACGCGTTCGGTCTCGACCGATTTTATTTCAGTGTGAGTTATTTTTTGGGACTAGTTTAATTTAATTTAATTCATCGTGAATTGTCTTGGAGTTACTTCGATTTCACTTTCAGCTACTTATCTTGGGATTATTCTAATTTGGCGGAGCATTCGGGGATTATATTAATCTAGCATTATTTTGATTTAGATTGAAGTTGATCTTGCAAGTGATTGAGATTAAAACGAGTACAGTAGCCTGGCGTATTTAAATTTTCAACTAGAAAGTAATCGTTATTGTTCCTCGGGATAAATTGCCCCGCAATTATTATCAATCTCGACGTAATGAAGGCAGGTCTAGTTTGAATTTATTATTTATCAAGTGGCTCGTTTACGGCGCAAGTAGGTCCCCACGTAAGTCATTTCTATTCGACGACTGTTTCTGAAACGTCCAATTTGTAACGTTCCTCGTGTGATACTACATCCTCCGAATATACAGTTTCACAACGAGTTCCCACTTAAGTCGACGACGAAAGAAATCTCGGATTAATGTTGTCCGTAAACGGAGAGAATGAGAAATTCAGTATGTAGCAAACGTAAATTTTCCAGGAAAAATTGGAAGGATAAGAAATTAAAGAAATTATAATGTAGAATTGTAAAAATTGTAAAATTATAAAAATGAAGGTATTAAATTATAAAGTGCATCAGTATAAAGTATAATGTATAAATTGGTATTCTGTTAGTATTAGTATACTTGCAAGTAGAACTGGAAAAAATTCGAATCAGTGAATTAAAGATCCGAACCTATTTGAAAGTACAATTTTCATTTCCAAATATACAGTTTCGTGAAATATTCGAGGATATATCACGAGTATATTTGCAACTACGAGTATTGGAAATACTTAGTTCGAGGACGAAAGATTCTAATCCATCTAGTATTCGAGTCTACTTGGAAGTATCGTTTTAATTTCCAGAAATATTCGGGAATACCTCGAAATATACTCAGAATTGAGTATATTTGCAAGTAGCATTATAAATACTTGGAAAGGGTTCGAATGCGTGTACTGAAGGTTCAAACCTACCTAGTATTCGAGTCTATCTTGGAAGTATCGTTTCAATTTCCAGAAATATTCGGGAATACCTCGAAATATATTCAGATTCGATATATTATATTTGCAAGTAGCATTAGAAATACTTGGAAAGGGTTCAAATGCGTATACTGAAGGTTCAAACCTACCTAGTATTCGAGCCTATCTTGGAAGTATCGTTTCAATTTCCAGAAATATTCGGGAATACCTCGAAATATACTCAAAATTGAGTATATTTGCAAGTAGCATTAGAAATAGTTGGAAAGAGTTCGAATGCGTCTACTGAAGGTTCAAACCTACCTAGTATTCGAGCCTATCTTGGAAGTATCGTTTCAATTTCCAGAAATATTCGG